GCTAGGCAATCGGGGTGGGTTACAGCATTTTAAAACAGCACAGTTAAAGGCATTCCCTCCAAGCATTCCCTCCATGCTTGTACAGAGAATATTAATTGGTATCTGGCAAGCATGATGTCTAACTGTCCTGATATAGAGAAAAAAACATCCACATATACCTTCAGCTTTTTCTGGGCAACTCCAGAAGAAGAAGATAGTTTCTGGAAGCATCAAGACTTTCCCACTTTTTCTTGTTTTGATTGTTCCTGTTTATTCACAAGTTGAGTCCAGTCTCTTTCTTGGAATATGCTAGGTTTCCCTCCCTGTTTGCAAGTCACATCCAGTTTCATACAATATTTCAGATATTGATTTTCACCAATTTCCACCAAACCTTAAAAAAAAAACTTTAAGGAGTTATAGGGTGTACATGCACAGTAGAAATAATGCAGTTTTGCACCACTTTACGTACTGTAGCTCCATCCTATGGAACCCTGGGATTTGTAGTTTTACAAGATCTTTAGCAGGGGTAGGCAACCTTTCCCCTTTAAGGGCCGAGAGACTTCAGCTCCCAGAAGCCTCAGCCATGTTGGCCAATACTCTCATGTTGGCCAATAGCTTCTGGGATTCTGGGAATTAAAGTCCTTTGGCCCTTAAAGGGGAAAGGTTGCCTACCCCTGGTCTTTAGGCTTCTCTGCCAAAGATTGCTGGTGTCTCATCAAACTACAAACTCTGGGATTCTGTAGGATGGAGCCATGGCAATTAAAGTGTATTTCTACAAGGTTGTGCCACAGCCTCTGACTCGCCTTATTTCTCCCATCTTCCCTGAGCAAGTTAACTCCTTGGAGGTGAAGGCAGGAAGAGGGAGGAGTTTGAAGTCTGATGTGAGATTACGTGAAAAGGAAGAGGTGTCTTCCCATCGATTGATTGATAACAGGACACTGTAGAGAAGAAAGATAGAGTGGCCCCGAATTCAAAATCTGGAAATAGAGTGGAGTAAACAACCAGAAGGAAGTAAAAGCAGAGAATAATAGAGACTAGAAGATTGGAAGTTTCTTTCCGGACAAAAAATAT